CCAGCCTCTGGCTGTCTGCAGCAAAGGGGAGAGGATGGGGCTGCCTCCTCCCCACCTCCTAGTGTGTCCTCCCATCCCCCACTCCCACCCCCCCCAGCCCCGTCCCCAAAAAGAGGCTAAAACTGGAGGCCACAGGATTTTTGTTGAAAGTGCTACAATCCCCATTGAATGCAAGTTCACTCTTGTACCCAAAGCAGAGAACCTGCTACCCAGGCCAAGTGGAGGAGTTTCGATGACCTGTTGTTTGTGCTCAGAATAGCGTAGCAAAACATTACGCTTGAGCCCATTTCCCCAGTTTTTGTATTCCATACATAGTGAGTCACCATTTCAAAATGGTGATTCTTTAAAATGCAGTTGTTTTTATACACTTGGAGGAGTGATCAGTAGCTAGAGTACCTGTTTAAAGTTCCTGGTTTTGACTTCATCCAAGCATTTGGCAAAGTTGTTACAGATATAGTTCTCTGTAAAAGGGTAGTAATCAAGTTTAGAAGTTATTCAGTATGTATTATTAAAAGAATCCTCCATGGCTGGGCTGATCATGGCTGAAAGCAATTGGAAAAAAACAGTTGTTGGTTCTACACAGGCTTCAAGCTTCCTGGGCTACCAGCAGCTCGAACCAAAAGTCCTGCAAAGGGATTTGGGAATTGGAGATAGACTATTTTTTTTTTGGGGGGGGGGTCCAGTCGTGGGGCCTGAACTCTGGGCCTGGGCACTGCCCCTCAGCTCTTCAGCTCAAGGCTAGCGCTCTACCACTTGAGCCACAGCGCCACTTCCGGCTTTTTTTTCTTTTTGCTTATGTGGTGCTGAGGAATCGAACCCAGGGCCTCAGGCATGCAAGGCAAGTGCTCTACCACTAAGCCACCTTCCTAGCCCCAGAGATAGACTCTTTTAGTAAGTGTTTAAATCAGAGGAACAGGGACTATTTAAAAAACTTAGAAGCTATTCTCAGCCCAGTGCCAGGAGTTAATCAGAATTAAGAATATCTCAGCATGGGGCTGGGAAGGTGGTTCAGTGATAGAGCGCTTGCCTTGCATGTATGAGGCCCTGGGTTCGATTCCTCAGCACCAGATAAGAAAAAAGAAAAAAGCTGGAAGTGGCACTGTGGCTCAAGTGGTAGAGTGCTGGCCTTGAGCTGAAGAGCTGAGGGACAGCGCCCAGGCCCAGAGTTCAGGCCCCACGACCAGACACCCCCCCCAAAAAAAGACTATCTCACCAAGGGTGAATTCATGAAATATTTGAACTATACAGCCTTAATGATACTAATTACCCACAATAATCATGTAAAAAAGCAAAAGGTAGTATATTAGAGATCCTATCCTCCTTGATCAGTGTGATTTATAGTGTGTACTATTTATTTGTAAGTGAATTAATTGGTGCTTGAAATGCATTTAAAATAAATGCAACTACGTCTAATGTTTTAAGCCCACCAGGTTTTCTGGTACAGAAAATTAATACATTGTTTATCACTTCACGTCTCCTTTGATAGAGAAAGTGACCGTGAGTGGCCTAGAAAAATATCAAGGATAGCAACTCTTGAGATTACGAGGTCACATAAGAAAACCATAACTCTTGATACCTGACTTTAGAACACGCTGGTTAGTTGGACACTTATCTGGTAAAGTGTTTAGGTGCCTAGATAAAAATTAGGCAGTTAATGATGAATCTGAATTAACATTATTTCATTAATGCTAGCTCACCTTAATAAGACTCAGCTTGTCCCAATTTGTAGCATAATCCATTGGCTTCCTGCCCCTGTTGACATTCCCACATATCCTGAAATTGATGCTAGCCTTTCTTTTTCTTAATTTAATTCAATTAGAACTAACTTGATGAAGGTTACCGTGCATTTAAAAAAAATAATAATGAGCCTTTCTACAAGCATTTAATTTTTTCCTCACCATTTTGGAACATTTCCCAGGTTGGGAGATTGGAGGGATGATAGCTATTGGTTTTGAATGATGAAATGTCTCCCTCTAGTGGAGCTTTAGAGCAGTAACCAGTTGTCATTATTAAAGTGAAGATAACATCTTCAAAAAATATTTTCTAAGTGATACTTAAATCTACATGTATTTCTTTGAAGGGTGAGTATAGAAATAGGATCAGTATAAACTATTGAAAAGTTAATTTTTTTCTCCTGTGGTGCTAGAGATAGAATTCAGAGCCTTGTGCATGCTAGGCAAGCACTGTTGCCATTTACCTACAGTACCAGCCCCTAACATTTTTAGCTTTATGAGTTGCACTTGCAGACCAGAATGACGTGGATTAGAGAGTAGCTTGATGTAGATTCCTCACGCTTAGTAATCATTTAGCTCATAAAGTTGGTGGTGAGTTCTCTGATATTTTGTGTAGAGAGTTCTCTGATATTTTTGTAGATAGATAGATAGATAGATTCATATGTACAAACATTTTAACAAATATCTCAATATGAACTGAATTTATGACTAAGGACTTCTAAGGTATGAAAACTATCTCTTCTTGTGATGATATCAGTTAATAAGATTAAAAAAGAAGACACTAGGAAACTAATTAAAATATAAGTTTTAAAGACTTTTGCTAGCTCCTTGGTTTTCTGAACCATACAATCATTTATGCCAGCAAACATGTTCACAGTATTATACCCACAATGACCACTTATATCACCATTTATGACTTTTATGTAGTCTTAGTCAGATAGTTGATCTTTAGAGAACCCAATGGAAAGCTTGGGTACAATATAGAGGCTGGTTAGTCTCTGTCTAATTTAGTCAGCCTGGAGAGGATCTTTACTCATCCCAAACCCAAGACACTTTTCTTTCCTGGCCAAGAGCTTTGATACAAAGCTAAGCCAAAAAAAATGATTTTTTAAAGCCATTCCCTAAATTTTCTCTTGCTGCTTCCAAGTACCAAAAAAAGGAAAGAGACCTGTGATGGTCAGAGTTGAGAGGCCTGATAGACGAAGGACAATCATGTTCTCTTGCTCTTCACACTCCTGTCTACAGGTTGGTGGAAGGACACACATCCCAAATCACACCCACAGTCCACATACATGGCGTCCACTTCATTGCTGCTCTTCATTACACATAGGCCCGTGTAAACCTAGGCACATGAACTGCTTACTCAGTGGGTTTGAGATAAGAATAGTGTGCTAAGCTCCCCTTTCACATCCTCTGAGAAATCCTCAGAATGAGACTACACCGTGGCATGGAACAAAATGGTCTGACTGCAAACTTTTCAGAGTTGTGCTTCCTTTGCTTGTGTGTCCACCCAGTTGTGGCTTCCCTTCTCCCCTCTCCTGTCTATCGGAATCAGTCGGCCTGAAAATACCTGAGGAAGGTCTTGATCATTGTACCTGCAGAAAGTATGTTTCTATGTTCTTGAAATCAAGCAAGCCAGACAGTCAGAGCATGCACCTATTCCAGCTGGACCTTTCCAGACTATTTACAGTTTTTCTAAAGTAAGCAAAGCCTGGTCCCTCCCACCTTAAGCAGCTTTGCCTCCTACCAAGACAAACACCTCCCAAGACAACCCTCCAACAGGCAGAGCCCTCCATTCTGATTTCACCAGTAACACCAGAGAGCTTACTGGACTCAACTCATGGCTAACTGGGATTGTAAACCATTTGACCTTCATGGGGCATTATATTGGAACTTAGAAAGAAAGAGTAAAGCTGAAGAAATTGGGTAACATGAGGACTAGTGACAGTGTTAGACTTCTTGTTGCACGGTGTTTAGCTGCAGATATGTTCATGTCTTTTTCTCTTTTCTTTCCAGGGAAGGAGATTGGTGGGAGGCTCGCTCCTTGACAACTGGAGAGACAGGCTACATTCCCAGCAATTATGTGGCTCCAGTTGACTCAATCCAAGCAGAAGAGTATGTTTTGTTTTGTTTTGCCATTTTCACTTAACCACTTGCTTTTAAAAGTTATTTGCCACAATAAAATGTCACTGACATAGTGCAGGAGGAAGAAGAAATTCACTGGAGTATTAGGGATTGAGGGAATATGGTGCATCTCAGGGTTTATGCCCTGGTTTTTGTCATAGCAATATAATACTTGTATTATTATTCACTTTAATATTTTTCTTTAAGCTTGTCCACCATTTAATGTGTAATTATTTGGAAACTGTATCAATACCCAAATAACTTGTACCCTATATACCCAAATGCCTAATATACTCTATATATACCCTATATACCCAAGTACTCAAATAATCAGTACCCTATAACTTGCTATAGATTAAAAAATAATGAAAATATGATGAAATTCTAGCTACAGTGTATATTATTGACATCCCAAAATTGGCCTAAAGTCTACTTCCTGGGGGTAGAAAAGCAAATAATTACTGAAGATTAAACTCGGATTTTTCTTTTCAATCTAATCAGAAATATTAAAAGAGTACTGAAAACATAGCTTCTATGTTCCAGAGAAAAAAATATCATAAACAGTGAATTTCACATCCTGGGAAATATTGCAGTTATGGCTTCCAAGTGATGCTTTTCTTTGTTTGGGGTCTCAGTTGTTTTCCTTGAAGTAAACAGTGACAGCAGTTAGTTAGCACAAAAATTCCATCAGAGGCAGTTCAGGAAGATGGTCAGTAGGATGAAGGGGTCCTAGAAGAGGTAACTGTTGTTATTCTCCAGACTTGGAGATGAGCAGGTATTGCTTGTTCCAGCCCTCACTTCTGAGTGGTGATGAGAGGGTGGATGATTTCCCAAACACAGGAACACTGCTTCCTCCCTGGAACCTTGGGAATGTGCCCCCACCGGAAAGGGAGAAAAGAAACGTCAGTCACTGAGCCCAGCCTTTGGCTCTGGTATTTAATTTTGTCATGGATTTGTGTAAACACTGCAAGAAAGATTAGATTGGACACACTAGCCAAGTCCCAATTGGATCATTTTCTTATCATTAATTCCCTTGTATTCCTTCTAAGAATATCTGTTTGTTGCTCACTCTCTTCTAAGTTTTTTCTTAAATTTCTCTACCGTGTTTCATCATCAGTAAATAAATGTATTGAGTTTGTGTTTTTTGGGGGGGGTCTGGTCATGGGGCCTGAACTCTGGGCCTGGGC